TATTCCAAGTATGGAATGTGATAACAGAACAGTGAGACACAGTGTAGCTGAAGATAGAGTGAGAAAACTTACATTAAGATTAAGGGATTCCTTAACTAACCGTCAACTCCTCTGGGCACCAGAGACCTCCATCTCTGCTTGGGTGGGCAAATAGGACCCCTGCTTTCCTGAAGGAGCCCACTCTAGCCAGGGCCCTCGGCTTCCCGTTCTGTGAGACACTGAGTCATTTCCTCTCTCCAGCTCTCACCTTTGAGCCTTCCTTTTCCCTTCTCTGGAGCAGTGACTCACTGCTGAAGTGTTGGGTGACAATGAATATCAAGGATGGGCGATAAAAACACTCCCGATTGTGCAACTTGAGGATGCGGGGATGTATTTTGGACGGGGAATTCAATGGGCTGGCCATGAACTCGAGGCTGGGGAGTCAACAATGAGCACGGCTTCATTTCTTTGGGGAAGTGGAGCAGAGAATGGAGTTTCAAACACATTCACTGAGCTGGATTTGCTGTGGAGCACCTTGTTTTACCCTTTCAAACGTGTATTTCTGAGAAAGGCAAATAAAGGCAGGCACTCAGCACGACACACGTACATCACAGAGGGCTGGGTCTGTCTCCTCAGCTTTGCGGGGCCTGGCAGAGACCCTGAGAGCAGGCCTCTTTCTTTCTGGGCTTTTCTCTCCAGTGAAAAAACTATACTTCCCGAGCTTGGGACGGATGAGGGAAGACAATGTGACAGATGCAGGCTCCGGGCTGGCCACTGCATTGGTGCCATAGACCCCTTCGAACAGGGTTACTGAAGATCGCCCTGCGTATAAGCAGCAATAGCAACAGCCCAAGTATTTTCCCAGGTGGAAACTCACCTTCTTTCACCCAGCTCACTGGATGCAAACTAGATATTTTCTTCTCCTAATTAACATTCATGGCTTTGAGGATGAGCAAAACAAAACACATTTTTTCCTAAAGGATGACTCCCTAGTCAGGTTACAAGCTATTCAAGATTCGGGAAGAGAGGCAGCAAGGTCGCCCTACCCAGGAGGCCAAACAAATGGGAGCAGAAACACCCATAAAAGTGGAGAGAAATTTATGTGTGGGTATGTGTATCTGTGCTGGAGGGAGGGTGCAGCTGAGAATGTCACAACAGAATTCAAAACTTTAATTCTCTGGGAAATTAAGGCAAAAAGAAGAAAAAAAACACACCTTAAAAACTATTGGTGCAAGTCCAGATGACCAAGAAACTTGGATCAGCAAGAATGGTTAGTTTGCTTTTTAAAGGTGCCTCAACTACAAAGAGTTTTCCCCATGGCCAGGAACCTGTGTATACACACACACCTGAGTCCCTCTCTGAGAGGATATTGATCCACAGGCTCCCAAAAGGTCCCCCCACCTCAGTCAGGGAGTCGCTGGCAGAGGGAGGGGGAGGTCCTGGGACACTGCTGCAGGTTCCCGGCATCAGAGTAACAGTTAATAGAAAAGCAAACATCTCCACATGATGCACCGGACACTCACATCCTCCGACACACTGTAGGAGGCTGGGCGCTAAGGCCAGACTCCGTAGAGCTGCATGTTTAACCGGCAACCTCAGACAGGGAAGACGCCCAGTGACTTTCCCCCCCAGGTCCGTCTCTAAGCCAGACTCTCCTTAGTGGCACAAAGGAACTATTTCTCATGCTTCCTAAACTCCCTCGGGCAGGCAGTGGGAAGGAAGGTGCCAGCCAAGCCCAAGGAGGCTTTTCTCGACTGATCACCTTGGGGAAAGGCAGATATAAACTCCACGGCAGGAACGCAAGGGTGTGAAATGCTGGAAGGAGCCCCTTTCGGGGAGGGCGGTGGGCGGGGGGCTGGCAAGGGTTAGTGGGAGAGGAGCAGGTTGCCCAGGTGGGTCTGCCTTTCTGGGAAGCAGGAAGTAAGGCCTCAAGGAAGAAAGAAAAAAATCCCTAACCTCTGAGGTGGTGGAGGGGCCACAGATAGGGTTGGTTTTGTTTCTGAGCATGAAGAAAAGGCTCTGTGTCAAAAAGTAGCTCTGGTATAAATGAGCCAATTATGACATAGACACAGCTCGTTATTTCTGGGATTTGGAAGCAGGAGCCTGATGGAATGTCCTCTCCAGGGTTAAATATGCAGAGTACGCTTCTAACTCCAGGATTTAGCCTTGCCCTTGATGTCATGTGAAAGGTCTCTCCTTGTGCTCCAACTAGTTAGATAAGAGCCACCAGTGAGGGTTACCACCTCAGAGACAGTCTTGTGTGTCCCTCACGGGATCCCCACTCATGGGGTGAGGAAGGTCACACTGTATTAATGGCTAAGAGCCCGCCATCAGCTCCACCCTGATATAACCGTGAGCAAGTTGCTCATTAGCCTCTCTTACCTCAGTTTCCCCATCTATAAGATTATCTACTTCTTAGAGTGACTATGAGGATGAGCTAAATTCAGATGCTATAAAGCACTTGGAACATCACCTGGCACATACTAGGTGTGACTGAAGTGTTAGTTGCTATTGAGGCATGAAAAGAGCAAGTACCTGATTCCCCAGGTAGGCCAGGGCCCAGCTGCCAATGTCGGGCTCCATCAGCTCCTCTGCACTGTGGCTTCCTCAGGCCTCATTCAGACCCGGGAAGCCCATGCATCTGAATGCCCCAGCCCAGGGGGCCAGACTAAAGGGAAATCAGACCTGTAGGCACAAGAAGGTCCCTGCTGGCTGCTCCCCCTTCCTCCCAGGGAGGTGCAAACATGGGTGCCAGCACGTTTGGGATTGGCTTTCTCAGTTGCAAGCCATGTGGTTTATCTGAAATGGGGTCAAGTCCCAGAGTGGGAAGCACAATATTACAACTGTGCTTGCTTATCTGAACCAAGTCCATCATCGTTGATCATGAGATAATAGGGAGCCAGAGTCTTGAAAGACTTGAGGGGTGTGTTGGAAAATATTCTTGGCAAAGGAGGAGGAACCATTTCTCAACCAATTGTTAACAAATTAGTAACCGGCACTGAGAACCTCAGAGGAAAGGTTCCGATTCCCTCCAAACTGCAGATTCTGGCACTTGGGAGACCTGACTGGGTACCTGAGCTGCAGGAAAGGGAGATACCAGAGGGCTGGCACCTCTGGTCTATTCCTACCCATCTCTATGTAGCTCAGGTCAAAGGGTGGAGGCTGCAGCCTCTGTCTTGTATCTACAGACAGCCCTCGGACCAGATCTGATGCCCACTGCCCAGTCTGAAGGAGCAGTATGTATGCATCTAGAAACCCAAAGACTTGTGCCTCCTTGCAATGTCTGGGGGCCATACCAGCTGGAAGTATGCCCAAGACGGGAAGTGAGACCTCAGACCTATATCAGCTCTACAAGAGGGGCAAGTGGGGTGTCTCCACAGGAGTCCCTGCCCTTGTGCCTAGAAAGCTGAACCTTCCAGAGGTGGAAGGGCCATCTGGGCTAAGACTGTCTGCAAGTTATAGGCAATCTGCTTGAGCCTTTAAGCCTCCAAGTACCGCCGGGCCTAGAAGCCAGGCTCAGGGCACAAGGAGTGTGGCCTGGGAAAGGGTCCAGATTCACAGGTGGAGAGGCTCCAGATGCCACACAACCCAGCCTGGCCATCTGCTGCTCCCAAGCGAAGATCAGGGTGCCTCAAGCCAGCTACTTCAGGGTAACTGGCTGGAGAAACCTACTGGCTGGAGTTGAAAACTGCTCTGAGGAAGCAGTGGAGGCTTCTCCTGGCACTTGCCAAAGAGCTCAGTTCTCATGGCTTCTGCACGGTGAGCCCCCTTGGGCAGGCCTGTCCCCAGAGCAACTCTCTCTGCTCCACAATCTGCTCCCAGCATCAGCATTAACTTTCCTGTTCCATCCCTGTCAGCTCCTTCCCCTACTTGTTACAATTCCAGGGTGCCTTCAGGGTCCATAGCTCATGTTCTTCCTCCTCTGAGAAGCCCTCCCTAACTACTCCTGATCATGCTGACTTGTCTTTTCTGCAGGGTATTAAATCACTACCACTCCCGGGGCTTGTGGATGAGCATCTGGAGCTAGAATAGAAAGAAGTAGCTATTTCTAAAAAATTGCATAGACAGCCAGACTCACACCAATTAGCTAATTAATTAATTTAATTGTTCACGTGTCCCTAAAAGAGTCTGCACCCCAGATGGACCCCTGGGTCTTGAGCCTGCCACACAGCAAGTGTGTAATAAAGACTTTTGAGAAGGAGGACAGATTACACTGGTCTTGCAGGAGTAAGCTGCTTCCTTTTTAGTTCAGAGCACAGCAACTTCCTCCCTGGCAGGCCAGGTTCCTGCTCTGGCCTGCCAGCTCCCAGGTATCCCCTGCCAGCAGCTATTCCCTAGAGCTGCCCTGGGACTAAGAGCAGAGGGGGATGCCCAGCTCCAGCCCTACCCACCATTTGTCCCCTCTCAGAGGAAAAGAGGTCAGCAGGAAACGGATCTGACCTTGGGGTGGCCACAGTCTCTCCCAAGGGCTATGGAGGCCCCTGGATAGGCAGCAGAGGCCTGCAAGGGACTTCCCTTCCCTGCCCTGGGCCCCATGGAAGGCAGGCAGGAAGAAGGGCCTCAGTAGCAGGCGTCCAGTATGGGGCTGGCCAGACAGTGAGGCCCCTAGGGTTGCAGCTATCAGCCGGAGACCAGGCTCCAGGAAGGAAGGAAGGGCAACTCTGGTCGAGGCTGAGATAAGGGGGAGGCGTGCTCAGCACAATGGGCTCCCACAAGGCTGGGAGGCCCCAACTCAGATTTTGCCCCAATTTGGCCTCCCGTCTGCTCACACAGCCCATATAAATATTTACTAATGTTTATATTTCTGCTCCGCTGGGTCCCCTCTGAGGCCCTTTCCTATCTATGACCCACAGATCCGTATTCCCCAGACCCTGGGCCCATCCAGCAAGGGCTATCAGCATTGTTCTCTCTCATGCAAGCCACAGAAACAGGCCCTTCAGGACAAAACTGTCCCCTTGTCCCAGCCCTGGGACATTGCTAACAGGTAGCTGTACTAAGCCCCGCTGTGGTAGGGAACTTACGGGGCCCGGTCATGGGTGAGGCCATTCTGTCGCTGAGGGTTGATTGGTGGAAGGACGGGTTTGCTGTTGATCTCAAGTCCTCTCCTCAGGGTCTCCCGGATCTGCTCCGTGTCTGCAACAACACCACTAAGTTGTCTAGTGGTCCTTTGGACTCCCAGCATCCCCCAACCCGGCCCTTGGAACCTGGTTCCGTAGACATGCTGGGGAAAGGCCCCCAGGAAGGCCTCCTGAGCCTGCTCTAGGCATCAGCTGCGAGATCTGAGTGGGTGCAGCGTGAGGACACAGGGCTGATAAGATATCATGTTCTCAAGAAACTTTTGGTCTGAAGAGGCCATTCTTGTAGAAGACAAGGGGTGGCCTCCAAGACAGGGCTCTTCTCCACTGTCCTTTCCCTTCCTGAAGTTAGGTGCCAGCTCTAACTTTAACATAGTTCCAGGCAGTGACTCCCAAGACCATCCACAGATTCTGCCCACTGAAATGGGTGCCCGTAAAGGCTGTAAGTGCCCTGCCATGAATGGTAAAGTGTCTCTTACACACATTTCTGGATTTTGAGTGGCCAGCTAGTATGTGGTCCTGCTACTCCTTCCCTGTGGGCTGGGTCAGTGAGATGCTGAGGTCATCTCCCCTTGGCCCAGGTACCCTGCCTCTCCATGAGTCTGGCAAAGGCCAAGAGATGAGAAAGGAGTCCCGGGTGGGATTATTTCTTTGCAAGTTGCTTTGCTGGTCTTTGGGTGAAGCCTACTAGTCTGATCCCCTATATTGGTATTCTGGCCTAAGTCTTACCTCCACAAACTACAAACACATACAGAAAAGCAAATTAACATCGGCTGCTCAAAGGATGGGCTTGGAGTGGATGATGGAGGCGATTATTAACTTTTCTAATGGTTTGACTTGTTATAGGAGCATGGATTACTTTTATAATTTAAAAAAATATCCAATGATGATGAAATTTTGGACAAGATTATGAATTCCTCCTTAAATTACCTCTTTTGTCAAAAGTACTGAATGATTCCAGTAATTGTAAATGTTCTCTTGAAACCTCCCATGGGTTTGGCACAGATATTGGGTCAGATATTCGTGTTAGGGTTTTAAGTTGTCCTTTATGGGAAGAAAACCTTTCATAAGTGCTATCACATATGCAGGCATTTTATTCAGGACTATGGGTATCTTATTGTTCAAAAAAATGAAGAAAAATGGAGGAATAGAGAAAAGAAGCAGAAAAAGAAGCTGTATATTTGTAAATGGCTGCTGTTCTTTTGGAGTTAGTATTGGATGCTCTTTGCTAAAAACCACAACTGTTTCTATAGCCAAGACCAACATGATGAGCTTCCAACAAGAGAGCCATATCCTCCTTCTCCATGGCCTCACCTGGAATGTAATGGGCACAGGGTCCCCTGCCCACAGCCCCTAGCACTGTATCTGCAGGACAGTGGGGCAGGGAAGTTTGCAAGCTGGCCTCACACTCAGGCCTCTTTTGTCTAAGGCCTGAGGCCAGAGTGATCCTCGGTCTGGCATGGTTTTCAGGCCAGAGCTGGGCCCTGAGTCAATTCCATGGGTGGCCGATGCTTGTTCTCTTGTACTTGGGTGGACTGTGGCCTTTTCCTGTAACTGTTCTATGGCTTCCACTCACCTCCATGACCTCAGATTGCAAGGGTCTAAAACACAATGGTCACTGCTGGTGGTACATTTGAAATACACACAAAAGGAACAGGAGAAATGGGTCAGCAAAGCTCCCTTAATCCCACCCTGCTGGAAGACTTCACATGCTGTTTAAATCCTGCCAGGAAAGAAACCATTGAAGGGGCCGTTTATGTCAGAGACCCATCCTACAGAGCCGGAAAACCAGGCCTGGGGAAAGAGGAGAAGGAAGCTGGGTGAGAGCTCCTACCTTTGCCAGAGAGCCGCCGGGGCTGTGTGCCTATGCAGATGCTCCGGCTGTCTTCGTCATCCTCAGGGGGCCGGCTCAGGTCATCCCAGGCACACTTGGCACTGACACCACTTAGATTGGAACCGTCCGTCTCGATGCCTTTATCAACTCTCTCCTGCTTAGAAAGAACCAAAGAGCCAGAGTTCCTTCAGCGAACCGGTGGCCCAAGGTCAACACTGCCTTTCCAGTATTTACTGAGCCCTTGTAGGTGCTGAGCACAGGACAAGTGCTAGAAGAGCAGGATCTCTAGCTATAACACATAGCAGTCTCTGCCAGCCACAGGACTCCTCTAGGGGAACCAGGGATTAGGGGAAGCAAGGAAGAAGAAAAATCCCAAGGGAAGCTTCTCTTCTATCATCAACCTTCAGTAAAAAGATCTTCACACCTGTTTCAAAGCCTCGGCTCTGCTCAACCCATGCAGGCCTGTGTTGCTAATGTGGCAGAACCAGGAACTATTTCCCTAAGGAAAAGCACGGTCCTTCCTCTCCTCCCATCATCCAGGAAGAACCTCCTCAGTTGCTGCTACAGAGAACGAGATGGAAGCTGGCACCGGTGGGAGAGAGGCCAGGACTCAGACCAGCTTCTCCCTGGCTCCACATCTGCAGTTTCCCCTTCTAACAGCAGGGGGAGTGGTCACCGTGAAGCACCACCACAGAGCAGAAGGGCAGGACTTCCTACACTGCTAACTTGTTGGACAAAGGACTCTGGATGAAGTTTATTTCCATTACTTGGAATGAAATGGGTGCCTGGAGGTCAGTGACCATCTGCAGGCCTCACCTGAGGCTCTGCCTTCGTGCAGGCCTTGGCACTGTTGAGTCCGAACACCCTCCAAATGGCCTTGCCAAATGGCCTTGAGGAAGAGTCATGACCAAACACCCCACCGCTGGGGTTTCTGGTAAAACACAGTTTTGTGAGGTTGGGCTTTGGATTAAAGGTCATCTGGAAGGCTCTAATAATTTCGCTCATAAACAACCATGTGGGCCAAACAAAGCTCCTGAGTGAGCACCTCAATAAGAGTCTGCACGCCCTTCTCTCCAGGCCTCCACAAGCACCATCTGGCTGCTGATGGGCCAGGGAGCCTAACTTGGGAAGCACAAGGTAAGCTTACATACTAGTAAGGTCCTTTTTCTTGAGACTAGGCCTTGCTCTGTATGCCTCCCTCTCATCAATCACACTCTCCTCCTTTCCAGTGCTACCACTAGCCTGGGCAAAGTTGGGCTTCTCAGCAGTGACAGGGACAGGCTGATGAAAGGGAGCAGCTCTGTGCTCCAGGCAGAAGCATGTGGGGCCTAGTTTGCTTAGGGTAGAGTCTGATTTTTCCCCTCTCTCTAGTGGCCAACCTAAAGCCCCTTACTGACTCAAAAAGCTACGAATACCTCTTGGCTCAACTAGCTAAGACCACTTACTTTATAAGTAAAAAAGAAAGAGTTAAGACCTAGAGAAGTTAAGGGACTTGTTTAGGCACACACCTAGCCAGTGGTAGAGCTTGGAGCAAAGGAACAGGAGCCAACCTAAAATGAACCACTTGCAAGCAGGCCCAGACTGGCACACATGAGCACAGAGGAGTTCCCACTTGGCACAGAGTCACCAGGAAAAAAAGCTGGACTTTCTCATCAAGGTCTGCCTGCTTACTTTTATTATTATTATTTTTTAATCCTCACCCGAGGATATTTTTCCATTGATTATTAGAGAGAGTGGAAGAGAGAGGGAAAGACGGAGAGAAATATTGATGTGAGAAAAGCACATCGATTAGTTGCCTCCTGCATGAGTCCTGACCAGGGTCCAGGCCAGGGAGGAGCCTGCAACCAAGGTACATGCCCTTGACCGGAATCAAACCCAGGATCCTTCAGTCCACAGGCCAATGCTCTATCCACTGATCCAAACCACCTAGGGCTGCCTGCTTACTTATAAAGATGACTAGGGCCTGGCTGGTGTGGCTCAGTGGCTGAGCGCTGACGTATAAACCAGAAGAGTCATGGTTTGATTCCCAGTCAGGGTACATGCCCAAGTTGTGAGCTTCATCCTCAGTGTGGTGCATGTAGGAGGCAGCTGATCAATGATTCTCTCATCACTGATGTTTCTTTCTCTTCCTCTCCCTTCCTCTCTAAAATCAATAAAAATATATATTTTTAAAAAAATACAAACAATCCCCTAAGTACCCTTGGTCCTGCTAGCTGGTTGAGGGGGAGCCTAAAGATTAGGAAGAGAACTATTCTTGGCATGCAGGAAATGACAGGCTACTTATTACCCTATTAGTTCAAAGGACCAGGTTTTTCTCAATACTTGGCACTTATGATGGGGGTAAAACAACAGCCCACAGTGTCCCATGCTGGATCCCAGTGTGGCTGTAGTACAAGGGTTTAGGGAAACATACCCTTAGTGGTTCCTGGTTCTTGCATAAGCAGAAGTTACAAGGAAACCAAGTTTAAAGTAGAGATAACAGAGGATCCTGGCAGCAATTTGAAAACTTCAGTGTTAAAGGCACTAGGAAAATGGAGGAGCCTCATCTGTGGATGAGTAGGCTTTCTACCCAAGAACTCACAGGTCTGCAGTAAAGAAGGCAGGGACTGCTGGCTATGTGTCTGCCTCTTCCCTGCCACCTCTTATCCCTCCTAGAGGACATGTAACTCCTGCAGCTGCCTGTGTCCTACCAGATTTTCACAGAAGCAATGACCTGCAACTGGCCGGGGCAAAGTAGAGGCAGACACATGCCAGGCACATTACAGCTTTCTGCTGCTCCTGCTTCATAAGCAACCAGTAAGAAAGGAAGTTATGCTCTATGTAGCTTTCAAAATTCACCTGCCTGCAAAAAAGAGTGCTTCTTCTAAAAAAATCAAAGATGACACTGAAACTCTATACAGCCAGGCCACATGAATGGCAACTGCAGGCCTATGGGTATGAAGACTTCCTTTACACATCAAGAAATTCCAGCCTACCCAGGGAAGGAGCTTGGTATCTGACTGGTCAAGATGAAAATGTATCTAGAAAGGGATAAGACCATTAGACCAATCAGGACTCCCCACTGCAACATGGCTGTGACATCACCGATTCTGTCTGTTATAGGATATTGGTGACAGTGGTGGCATGGCTCCCTCAAAGAAAGTCTATGTTCTTTATAGAAGGGGGAAGTGGGAGGGTGAATACTGAGCTAGCAATAGCCACTATACTGATTTAGTTGCTAGCGATCATATTTTTGAACATCAGGTTTATTGATATGTGATTTGCATACAATAAAATTTCCTTTTAAAATGCAAAAATACATGTGTCTGAGACCAGTTTTCCTGGTCTGAAATTTCTGTTCCCTTATGCACTCTGCAGAATTCAGGGGACAAGTTCCAAATCATGCCACATGTCTACTCACTCACAAATAAAGCTCCTTGTTTTCCCAGGATGAAAGCCAGTGCTATTTGGAAGAGGCCTAGGCACAGTGTGCTAGAAAGGTTTTCCTCACTCAAGACATACTTGCAGGTGTGGATCGATCTCAAATATGGTCTCTCCCCTCCGCATGTCAGTTATCAGCCAGGGGCCGCCAGCGCTGTGGATAAAGAAAGGGGGCAGGAGGGTCTGGGCTGGGCCTACAGCCTGCCCTGCTTGCTGCCCCAGGCCCAGAATACAAGGGAGTGGTCACTGGTCGGGGCCATCAGGGAGCGAGTTGTCAGGAAGCCCTGATGTGAAAAGCCAGTGCCTGAACAGCCATGTAAGGGGAAGCCCACATGTGGGGGAAGAAGGGAGTCCCACCCCAGGCCTGGGAAGCCAGGCACCCACCTCATAGGGAGGGGGTGTACTCACATGGGCACCATCCGCAGCAGCTCCAGGATACCCTGCCCATTCCACTGCTGGGCTGCATGGAGTTCCTCAGTGCAGACACCAACGATCTGGGACCCAGAGACAAGATGCCATAGTGAGTCAATGGCTATTCCTCCTACCCATCCAGAAGGTCAGCCACCCAGACTCTGTCAGTGTCACTTCAAGTGATGGGACTACAGGCAGCATCTGTGCTCAGAGGCTAGTGCATCCAAAATGGGATGGTTCCCTCAGGAGGAAATAGTTGCCTGGCCAGGATACGGATGGGTCCACAGATGCGGCACTGATGGCTGATACTTTGCCCTGCTGTGATAGGCCAGGTATCTGGTGACACAAAGTCAAGTCCTTGACTGCAGAGAAAATCAGGGCCCTGCCAACTCAGGATGTCCCTAGAAGTAGTGGAGGTTCTGCCCAATCTAGGATCATGGGGAATGTAAATAGGAGATTTTGAAACTCTTCAAGCTCGAAACAACAACCAAAGGGCCCAGCAGATGGCAGAAGAGCTCCCTTCCTCATCAGGGGCTAAGCCTTTGGTCAATCTCAAGAGAAACAACTGAATCTTCACGCAGACCCATCAGGATCACAAAGAGGCCCTCTGCAGCTGGGGTGGATGCATACACCAAAGCTGCATTCCTGCTGGAAGTTACTGTGCCTGTGGCTGCCTGGGTCTTAACTAGTTCACAGAAATACCCTCCCCGTTACCCGCCTCTGCTATAACCATCCTCTCCTACCCAAATGGCCCCTTCCCTTTCCCCCTTCTCCCCCTCAGCAGGTTAAATCAGACCCTCTGAATCGACCTGATAAACAGAGGGAGGAGAAAATGGGAAAAGAACAAGGAAATCTCCCGTTCCTTTCACTCTCTCCACCCAAGCCCTCCTGCCCTCCCAGGACTTTTCCCACAGGGAAGGCTCGCGCCCATGTCCAACCTGTGCCTCACCTGGAGGAAGGTAACGACCCCAAAGGGTGTCTGCACAGGTTGCATCTGCGGGTCCTCTGTCAGCAGCATGTGCTGAATTCTTGACTCACTGTTATCCAAAGGGCTGTGCCAAGACACGTGATCCCCACTGCAGAAGGTGTTCTCTGTGGGAGAGACAGGAGAATCCTCGGTGTTTGAGGCCCTGCATCCAGGCCCAGAACTCAGCCTGCGATCTGAGAAGCCCAGGCTGGAAGGCCGCCCCAGGCTTCCAAGGTAGTCCCTGTGAAGGAGGGGAAGCATCCACACAGGTGAGGGCAGAGTCTGAATGTTTCCCCCAAGCCAAATGCACTCCTACTGGCCAGTTCGGCCAGCCTTCCACAGAAAGGACAGGCTGCTAGTGTGCATGCTCACTTGGCCTGCAAGTCCAAAGCCAGAATTCTGGCATCTGCTCCACTTCCCCGGCACCTTCACTTCTTGGGGTGGGGTCGGGGACAGTCATGATTGGACCTACCAAGAAAGAATAAAGTGTTTTATTGTGGGGCCCCCTGAATAGGGAGACTGGAGGGCAGTGAAAGCCTTTCACCTTGGACAAACAGAACAGGGTTTATGTGCTGCTGAAACTGCTCAAAAGAGAACACCTTTGATGTCTGTCAGCAGTTTCCCCCAGGAAGACAGATTTAGGGAACAGTCCCTCAGGGAGATGCACTAGAGACCAGCAAAAGTCTGAATTGTGTCCCACACACCGTGGCAGAGACATACAGACTTGGGGGCCGGGGGCTGTTTCCATGAGGACATAGATACTGCGCCCAGGCTGCCTAACAGAAACATGTGCAAACACAGCCACCTCATAGCCTTACCACTGAACTTCACACAAATCCATTACTCAAAAAAGTTTAAGGCAGCATAACCACAAGGGAAAAACCACCTATGCGGTATGAAGTCTCCACTACCCCTGACTTTTATCTTGGGTGCCCTTCAAAGGAACTCTGCATTTACCAGCCTGTATGCATCTATAGGTTCTCTCTATCTTGTTTCTTCTAAGACATATGCAGCACCATTTTGTACGTTTCATATATCTTGGAATCATTTCACATCAGCACAGAGAAAGCTACCTTATTCTTTAAATGGCTGTATGGCAGTTCACCATGGTCTATCACATATAATCTAGGGTCTCAACAGCTGAGGTCCTCTCACTTTTTATTAATATTTGAAGCAAGGCAGAAAACACACACACACACCAGCCTGAAGGCCTGAGAGCACATCTGCTCGCATTTGTCTTGGTCTAAATACTCCCTCCTGTGTGAGGTGAAGTGTACACTACTTTTTCTAAGAGACAGGCTTGGGTTATTGGTCCTAACCTCAAAAGCATTCATTCAGGGGGGAGAAGAAAGACTTCTTCCTCTAAGAGACATGAAATAATAAAGGGGAGAGAGGGCCTGGCTCCAGGCAGAGCCAACTACAAACCCCTCTTTCTGGACTCACTCTTCCCAGATTTCCTCTCCTTTACAGAAGTGCATGTCTATAAGTATCTACAAGTTAGAAACAATGTCACAAGTAAACACTGAATTAGTAATTAAAAGCTTCCTCCACAATTAAAGGGTTCAGGTCCAGATGGCTTCACTGGTAAATTCTACCAAACATTCAGAGAAGAATTAATAGTAATTCTTCACAAACTATTTAAATTAAAAAAAAAAAGTAACACTTTACAATTAATTCTATGAGGCCAATATTACCCTGATACCAAAATCAGACAAAGGCACCACAAGCAAAGAAAGCCATAAATCAGTAGCTCTGATGCATAGTCCTCAAGACTTGAGACACAAAGTCCTCAAGAAAATACAGGCAAACTGGACACAGCAACATACGAAAGGGTTATATACAACGACCAAGTGAGATTTAACCCAAAAATATAAGGTTGGTGTAGAAGTAACATAAGAAAATAAATGTAATATTGATATAGTATGTCAATAGACTAAAGGTTTAAAAAAACACATAATCATCTCAGTAGACACAGAAAAAGCATTCAGCAAAATCGAATACTCTTTCATGATAAAAACACTCAAACTGGAATAGATAGGAACTTCCTCAATCTGTTAAAGGGCATCTACAAAAAAACCTACAGCTAACATCATACTTGATGGTGAAAGACTGAATTATTTCCCTCTAAGATCAGGAACAAGACAAAGATTCCCACTCTTACCACTTCTATTCAACACTGTACTTCATGAACCTTAGAAACATTACACTAACTGAAAGAAGCCAGTCCCCAAAGGCCATATATGATGCCATTTACATGGAATCTCCAGAACAGTCACATCTACATAGACAGATAGATTAGTGGTTGCTAGGGGGGAATGGGGAGTGACTGATATGAGTTTACTTTTGGGGGTGATGAAAATGTTCTAGGGTTCATTGTGGTGATGGTTTCACAACAATGAATAACATGGTATGTGAATTATATCTCAATAAAGATGTTAAGAAAAAAGAAAGAAGGCAAAAGGAAAGAACCTGGGGGAAAGGCAAAGTGTGTGAAGCCAGGCCAAGGCCCTGGATTCCTTGTCACCACCTCCTCAGGATAAGCAGCCGAGTCTGGGAGAGGCCTCACTCATAATGCCCAGACATCACACATATTATAGCTCTATGTGACCCGAACGATCACAGTCCAACATTTTCATTTTCTACAAATGAAGAAAGGACCCTCAAGACTGCCCAAGGTCATGGGGCAAGTCAGTGACGATAGAGCACAGTGAAACATTTCCCAAACTTCTGAGTCAGTGGTTCTCAACCTGTGGTCTTTCACCTAAGACCGTCGGAAAACACATATATAATTACATATTGTTTTTGTGATTAATCACTATGCTCTAATTATGTTCAATTTGTAACAATGAAAATACATCCTGCATATCAGATATTTACATGACGATTTATAACAGTAGCAAAATTACAGTTATGAAGCAGCAATGAAAATAATTTTATGGTTGGGGGTCACCACAACATGAGGAACTGTATTAAAGGGTCGCGGCATTAGGAAGGTTGAGAACCACTGTTCTGAGTTATCCGTAACACTGTCAGGATTTTTAACATATATCTGCATACCACCTGTACTATTACCTACCTGTCTCCCTCCCCCGCCCGTAAAATTGACTCACTTTAAAAACCTAAACAAACTTACTTTAAATAGAAATCTCCTATCACAACACTAAATAGGGAAAATCAGTGTTGCTCACTGTAAAGTAGATGACTTCAAAATGATTGAATGAAAACAAAATATTTTAAATCTCTAACAGATACTGTTGCTTACCTAACCTTGTTAAAACTGAAATGATCAAGGGTTAAAGAGCTGTTAAGAATTAAAGAGTGAGTCATATCAAACTGACAAAAAGAGCAGGACTGAGTCAGAGCTCTGAAGAGGAAAGAGAGTCCTCACTATTCATGTTACTGAATGCCGTGTCCAGTTACCATCTAAATCTCCTGCTGGCTTTGGCAAATCATGGCAGCATGGGTAATTTTGCAGCTGGGAAAGCCCTATGCTATTTGCCTCTGCCCCTTACTAGTTGTGACCCTGGGCAACTTCTAAGCCTGTTCCCTCATCTGTTAGCAGGAAACAGTGCGCCCGCTTGGCGTGCTCTCCACTGCTGCATGTATGACTCTACTCCTGCCCTGGAATGCAGTGCAGCTACTCCCACCCAGGTCCCAGTTCCTTTACCAGGAAGCAGGACCAGCCACAGAGCCTGTAGGTAACAACAATTGCCAGTAGGTGGCACCATCACTCCTGATTTAAGAAAGCTGGGCCAAAAAAAAAAAAAAAAGAAAAGAAAGCTGGGCCAGTTCCCTCCAATGCTTCTGGTCTAGCTGACTTCTGGTCTGTAGAAATATACCCCAAACCTGAAAGGTTCTTAGACTGGAAATAGGGAAAGGACTGGAAAGGTTTGAAGCCATGACCTTTTATGAACCAGAATCGACATTTATAAATGTTGCCCTAACCAGTGTGGCTCAATGGATAGAGCGTCGGCCTGCAGACTGAAGGGTCCCAGGTTCGATTCCGGTCGAGGGCATGTACCTTGGTTGCGGGCATATCCCCAGTACGGAGTGTGCAGGAGGCAGCTGATCGATGTTTCTCTCTCATCGATGTTTCTAATTTTCTACCCCTCTCCCCGCCTCTCTGTAAAAAAAATCAATAAAATATATATTTTTAAAAAATAAAAATAAATGTTGTCCAAACCTAAACTATTTAAATGAAGAATGACTAAAGGGTACACTTAATTTGGGAAGGAGTGCAAGTTAGGCAGCCGGGAGAGGAGACTGTAAAGCAGGGAAGGGAAACAGACCCAGTTCTAGGACCAACACACCTCCCTGGTGTGTGTGATCCAGCTCTGGCAGAATGTACTAGTGAGCTACAGGAGGGCAGGTGAGGAGAACGCATAACCACACACAGAAAGGTTTAGAGAGCAGGAGGGGGACAACCTTTCCTTCCCTAGCCCTGCCTGATGGGAGAACTAGCTGTATCAGCTCTGCTGTGGCCAAGAAACAGCCTTTCTTAACAATGAAAGAGCCTTGGTCACAGTTTTCAAGCTTGGGACAAAGCCACAAAGGGCTCATTCTTGAGTCTGCTCTGGTCTTTATTTCTGGATGCTCAGCCCCATTCTGTGTGGAGCCACGGTGGGTCTCAGCACTCGGGCCCCAGCGCTCACCCCAGGAAGCTCTCAGACCCCTTGAGAGGGTTTTCAAATGCTAATGAGGCCTCAGTCAGAGGCCCAGCTGTTCTGTCCAGTGGTTAGAGAGCTCCTCCCTCTCCCTTCCTCTCGGGCTGCCTGAAGTACCCTAACCAAGAAATTAGGATGCAAATCTCTGGGACCCCTACCCAAACCACGTAGCAGAGGGGCTCTCTGGGATCCGAAGGCAGGCCATTTCCCTCTTCCTCTGACCTCCCTCAGTTGCTGCCTGTTTGGCAAATTCACCGGAGGGGGACTACCACCTTAGGGTGGCAAAAAGGGTCCAGAAACTTCCAGGTACAGTTCTGTCCTTGTTTCATTGACAGAAAGGTTTTGTTACTCTATGTTTCTATCCCCATTAACAAACAGCTCCCTGGCAAGAACTCTTTAAAAAGTTGGGTGACGGGGATGTGGGTGTGCAGATTCTAACTGGCCCCTCAAATTGACCCTACCCCAACTCCCAAACATCCAGCTTTAGTCATGGTGGTTTGAAGCTGGACTGTGCCAGATATAATAAGTTAGCAAAATCTAGGGAAATGGGTTGCAGAAGAAAACAGCTATTGTTTGCAAAATAATTAGTGCTGCCTTTGAAATACTGAGAAACAAATATATCCTCCAAGAGTTCTTAATTCATCCCAACCCTGGAGAATGACTGTCTCCTTTCTGTGTAAAAGGACAGACCTAGTGATGTTCTACACAACAGCTCACAAAGCAAAAAGCAATCCCCCACCCCCCATGTCCTATCCCAGTGGTCAAAATTAACATGTTGGTCAGAGGAGAACAGGTTAATGTTGT